CTAACATCAGAGGTATGGACTATCACACAGAATAGCTTCACTCATAATGAGATACGATGTTAAAAGATGGACAAATTAAATTAGATCAAATATTTGTGGCAATTGGGACCTCACAAATTCAAACACAGACTCTGTAATAATCAATAACCCACAGTTTGGTATATTCGACATTATTTGAGAAACCTTGCATACCTTTTTAAGCTGCCCCTCCATGCCGGGCATCAACATGATACAAGCAACACCCACTCCCAGCAGCAGGAAGAAGGCATAGATGAGGCGAGTCACTGTGGAGTTATTCCCACTGGGGCAGCATCGGCACAGCAGGCAGGGGGCGCTGCCGCACAGGCACGGGATCTGCACACAAATCAGTACTACAGTTAATCACTTGGTCATAACACACAGACAGTCAGACAGATAGAGAGACAGACAGACTGGCAGGCAGCCAGACAGACACACAGAGAAGCAGGCAGATATATAGATCTAGGCATTAGACAGGAAGGTAAACCGCTTCCTCCCAGCAGACAGGCCCGTGTATGGTGACCCTCTCTGGGGGTAAATGTGTTGATGTCTGCCTCCACATGTCGCAATGAGCCCACCATGCTGACCGCAGCTGATACCTGACCTGTTTACATGCTGCAGTGTCGCAACAGCTAACAGCTAACGTTACACCCCGGCTGCTTTGTTGACATCATCCACAGCTGCGTGTTGACAATGTTCACACGCAGAAAACCACCAAATACACGTCAAAAATGCCACAAGTAACATTTCACATACAATTCACATCTTTAGTTAGCAACAGCAGGACGGTTAAACGAGCGGAAGCGTCGAGGCTCGACATGTTTGTGGGTTTTTTTAGGTTAGCTGGTTTCCAGACAAAAGCAGACGTCATGTAGCCCTGCCGTTAGCTCCCATGCTTACAAGAGCCAGTAACTCATCCACATTACTCACTATAGACATTGTATTGGATTATATAAGAGCAGTTAGTGAACGCTAACTAGCTTTATTGTGTTTATTTATGTCCGCCTGCGTCACAGTTAATTAACCCGACGGCCTCCTGCCGTTTGTGTTATTGCGCAGTCATGACAGCGCTTGTTGTGTCGAAAAATAAAACAGCGATAACGACACATTTAACGTCACTGCTTTCAGTGTCAGTGAAGAAAAGACGTGTGTAACTCACCCAGCTCGCCATGGAGCACAGTCCCAACACGGCTCCCATGATGGCTGATGTTTGTTCTTTTCTGGTCTCTCGTTAGATGGCTGGTGCTTTCCTCGAAGATGGATGATGCGCTGCCTGACTTCTTCTTCTACTAATACAAGGTCCAGTAGCTTAAATGCACAGGAGCGGTTTGCTGCCCTCTATAGGACGACTGCAGCGCTCTCATCTCAGGCTTTATTCACGTACACAAAATGTTTATGTTGACGTGACTTCTTCAGACTATTCAGGAAACCCTAACTCTTATCTCTGTTATATAAAGACACATACTTAAAAACTGTCTTGTACTGCAGCTTGCAAACATTTAGTAAACATTCCTGATGAAAATTAAACAAAAGTAGTGTATTGAATTAGGCCTACATTAGTTAAGGATTTTAAATTAGACATATTTACAACTGCAGAAAAATTGTTTTTGACAAACAATCTAATTTAAAGATCAAGTGTGTAGGATTAGGGCCCCTTTATACTCCCTGTACATATGAAAATACGTAGATAGGCTGGGTCCATTTCAGACGTTGTAAACATCGTGACCCTTATTCCTTCATGCTTCCTTTATGATGGCATACAGCCATTAAATGGCAGTAGAGGGCAGAGTCAAGTTTCAGACAGCAACAAGTGAGGTTACACTGAAGAAGGTTGTAGTAATATAGGCTTACCTTTTAAGGGAGACAGTGTTGTGGATGGCAGTGGACTGTGAGGCCATTAAATTTATCACGTCATGTGACACAGAGAATTCTTCTGTATTACTAATTCACTCCATTCCACCATTTTTTAAATGTCTTTGTCATCTCCTGTGGTCATATCTTGCTTGAACTACTATGTTACACTGCCCCCACTGCTCTGTTTCATTCATATCTGTAAGCTTTCAGAAAACGTGGACAGATACGGACAAAATGAATGCAGAGAACGGACAGAGGGTTTCGTCCGTGCCCATATATGTATTTAACTTTGAGCATTAATGAGTCCATGGGGGTACATACTGGCATAAATGAAATACAATATTCTTTACTATGTTTTCATTATTGTTTAATTACCTGAAACTAAGAATGGTTGTGTTTTTGTTAACTTAGAATGAGCTGTTTATATCTACAAATGGAGCAGGTCACAAATTTGCGTTCTTAAAATAGCAAAGGCATGACCCACCCCACTCTGCCTTATTTTATCTCTGATTGGCTTACACTAACATTCTTACCCTAACCCCAACCATTCCCATTCCTCTTGCCTGAACCTAACCAACCCAACCAATGAAGGCAACAAATACTAGCCAATCAAAGGGAGAGTAGGGTGGTTCATGCCTTTACCATCCCAGGAAATTTGTGACTGATTCCTCTTCTAAGGAATTTGCCATGTATGCCACAGGAGGAGTTTCAGTTGGTTGTAATCTGCAACCTTACCACTAGATGTCACTAAATCGTACACACTAGACCTTAAAAGGTAAACTTACTGAGTTTTGGAGCTTTCAAAGTATCTCCCAATCCTCTTTAATAATTGGAGATAGCTCAGGTGTCAGAACTTGACCAAAATATGGACCTTCAGTCACATGATAACAAGTGTTTATATATGTGAGGAGATGGTAATACCTGTCTCTGTTCAAACATGGTCTGTGGTATCAGATGTGAATGTCCTCAATCTTCCTCTGGTCATTTGCTGACTCCTGCTGAACAACCTTTTTGACCTCTTTTCCGTGGATGCTGTTTGTGGTTTTGATCTGGTGTTCACAAACAGCCGGTGTCAGCTGTTTCACTGATGTACACAGTCATCACGCGATGTCATGACACTGCTTCTGGTGGTCTCTGTTGAGTTAGCAGTGTTCGTTCAAGTTGAGGTTGGTTCTTACCTGCCAGCTGCTGTTTAATGCCTCCTCAGTAGGGATGCTGGTCAACCGGAAACTGTAGTGTTGTCACTGGAATTTCTAACTTTGATACAATACCTTGAAAAATATTGATATACATTATCGTTTATGACATCACAGCCTGTTGACATTGAAGGCTGTTTCGTCTTTCGGTGATATGTGAATAATATCACGTGTCTCATCTAGTGTGATGTTGATATATGTATATATGTTTGATTACTGGCACTGCTGTACTGGGCTTACCCACCATGCTGGACTGAAAGCAAATTCCACCGAACTCAGATTGATTGATTGATGTCCTTGATCTTCTGGACCATGTTCCCATGAGATGGTCATGAGATGCATTTAAAAGCTCTAAAATTTAGCAACTAAATTGTTGAGCGTAGATTATTTTGTTACATATTGTTCCCACAGGTCAAGAATGAACGTACCAGTACATGCTAATTTATATTATGCTTTAAAAATTATGTCCAAAGATTGTCTCAAGGCTGTGGTGGATGCTGATGTCCCCAGGGCTACAGTAGCTGCCAGATAATGTCGATGAGAAAGTTGATGTCTATTTAAAGTGTTCTTCCTGTGAGGCTTGTCAGATTCAAGTGTTCAATTCCACCAATAATCTGAACTAATGTACATTCTAAAATTTGCCACTGTGGTCACAGACTTTGTGGTCTGGGTGTTCTGACAAAGATGCTTTATTTTACTATAGGAACATCACTGTAAGCACATTGTTGACAGTAACTCCAATGCACTACATCAAACAGGATACAAAAGCCAATTAAAAGAGGAGAATAATGAAAGTCCTTTGTAAATAATCCAGACAGGAGATTATATACAGTCGTAAAGTGAACAAGGACCCGCACCAAACCAACTGTACAACTTTTTCTTCAGTCCAGTCAGTAACCCTGTGATGTCTCTCCTGTAAATCAACAGGAAAATATATTGCTTCTAACATTACATTTCAACAGAAGTAGGACAGAAATAAAAAGAACAGAAAAACAATACATTAAACCAAATAATGCTCTTCAGTCTGGAGCGCACTGTTCCTCTCATTAAACAACAGTCTTGTGTGTCCCATCTGTCTCATCAGTGTGTTCTCAGACTGGCCTTCCACAGTGAAATGGATAAACAACAAGAAAATAACTAAATCTCTCCTTTCGTCTTCAGCTGGAAAACAGCAGTTTTTGGTAATGTGATTCACAGACAGCAACATATTAAAACTCTGTTCTGTCATTTCCTGATAACTGACTGCATTTCATTTTAGTTGTTGTGTTTTTATTGTCAATAGTGCAAAACAATAATTGGATCAACAGTCATAGATACTGCCTGATAACCAAGACTAATGGTTATTCCTCGTCATGGTTAGTTCTACTTTAGTCTATTTTTGTACGTCTTCTGTGGCTCTGGAAGAGCTTTGTCAAGTCTGAGAAAATAACGTCATTGTCATCAGGGTCATTTTGGCTCAGGCTTCAAGAGACCAAAGTTGTCAAGTGGGAGGGGGCGCTGGTAACAATATCCTCGGTGTTACTCAAAACCAAACACAGGACTTTTCCATGTAATGTAGCAGTCCCATAAGTTTATATGTTATGGTCACCAGTTTGAAACACAATTTTCCCATGTTTCTGTGTCTAAGTGACTAATAACAACAACAATTTTTGAAATTGGTCCAGTATTGAGTGAGGAACAGGCTATAATGTAACTACTCGGGCATGTTCGCACCAACCATGTACATCCACTAAAAGTGCCTGTTTTTGCCACTGACAGGCTCAGGCCTAGTCCACACGAGCACGGGTATTTTTAAAACCGAACTTTTTTGGCCTCCAGTTTTTAAAAATCTGTGCCCATACAAGCAGTGTAATAAAAATACCTCCGTCCACATGACACCGCATATTCCACTATCAAGCAATGTAATACACATGCCAAAGCAGTAGGTGGCGATATAACTCCTAACTGGCCATTGTAGCCAATCAGAAGGCAGTAAAACGTCATTACCGGAAAAACAACAACAAGCATACTATTATGCATTAGGAGCAGTCTCTGTAATAGGACACTCTTGCATCTCTGTTGCTGGATGTGGTTTAGCAGCGTTAGTTGTATGATACAGCCACAAAGTGCTGATATGCTGTTAAATAGCAGGACTCAACCCTGGACTCCGGTTACAAATAACTCTGGTTACAGGGGCCCAAAACTGCGGTTACGTGTGGATGAAAGGCCAAACCATGAACAAAGAGTCACGGTTTTACAAATACCCGTGTTGGTGTGGACAGCCGCTGATTGTTATTTTAAGTGTCTGACAATATAATGGATAGGATCCCTGCAAAGATCAAACTTTTTGTTGAAGAGTAAGATCCTTTTTGTTTTAACTAGAACCAGCCCATTAATTACCATCCCCAATTCCACCAGACTCCATTTAAATAAACAGTAATTTTAGCGTGTATAGAGATGGCATATTTTCACATCTGACTGGGTTAATCAAGGGTTTATTTCAACCCAACTAGAGTTGAAACTCGCCGGAGCAGTGGAAAGATCAACTAAGACGGTTTCTGTGAATTTTATTTTGTTTCTGTTGACTCTAAATGAAGTGTGGTTTCCAATAATAAAATTAGTGTCTACTTGAAAGAGGTCTGGTGGGTTTGGCGATGGCGATTTTGAGGCTGTTTCTGGTTAAACAAAAAGGATCTTACTCTTCAACAAAGAGGTCTATCTCTGTAGGGATCCTTTCTATAATGATGTCAGAAACTTAGAATAACAACCTGAGCCTGTCAGTGGTGAAAACAAGCACTTTTAGTGGACGTACATTGACGGTGTGGACATGCCCCAAGTAGTTACATTGCAGCCTGTTTTGCTGATGCTGGCTGCAGCAGTCCCACTTACTACTGGACTAGTTTAAAAATTGTTGTTCCCAGTAGTAATTTAGACACAAAAAGAAAAGAAAAGAAAAGAAAAGAAAAGAAGGTCCAGGTTGGACAATACAGAAGTATCCGTTAATAACGCAATTTCCCATTTTAGCATCAAAGACGGGTTTAAATAACCATGAGCCTCGGCCACCGTTAGGGTGAGGAAAAGGCAGTCAGTGGCCTGAAACACAGCGGTTCCACAGCTGCGCACCACTATCCAACCAGAATTTTAAAATAAAATTGATTTAAACTGTAGTTTGTGATTTCAGCTTTCTCAACATTGTCATCTTTAGCTTCCACGTGCCATAAGGGGCACTCATAACAGAATTTTAAGCTCAGTGCTTTGATATTTCTAGCCAAAATGCACCTTGAGAGTCATAGTTAACGTCCCGCTAAAGGTTTTTATGTGCTCAGGCTTGTGCCTTCAACTTATTTATCAAATAAGCAGATGTTTTTTAACATAGTTATTAATCTTTTTTTACTGATAATTTTACACTCTCTTTAGGAAAAATAAATAGGACCTTAATCTCTGGAGCCAGGGGTGCCCAAAGTAGTTCCTCCTAGTTCTCAACTCTATGAAGGACACTATCAAGTTGCATTATGGAAAGTGTAGATCCAGTGTTTGAATAAGGGACTAAAAGTCTGTATGTCTTGCCTCTGCTTCTTCAAATTATTTTTTATTAAACTATCAAATCTCCCAACTTCATGAAGATGTTCTACCAGACTACTAGAGTACCTTTCTTTATATCACACTGGTAACTAATAGTACTATAGTAGGAGTTATCTTTGTTGGGTACCAGGGGGGACTACAGGGAGTAATCTACACACAATGTCAGTACAGCATGGATTATCTGCTCCTGGTCCAAGAAGGATCGAGTATAACTGTCAGTAAATCCTCCCGTAAAGCCTTTTGTTTCACAGGAAGAAGTAATAGAGGGTTGTAGCCAGGAATCCAAAAATGCTCAGGTCATAAATCGTAATTCACCTAAATGATAGCCCCAACGCCACCACCTGACCAGACCCCAAAATAAAGTCTTTAATTTGTACTATTTCCATTTCTCAAGAATAAGGTCTAAATGCTGTTTTAAAGCCTCTTCTCTTCACCCCGTCAGGATGCTTTTTTGGTTTAAAAATAGTTAAACTTATAAATCTTAAGTGTAAATACATTTGTTCCAGCCTATAAAACATCAGAGGACAAACCTTCCATAGCTTCAGTTGGCAGCTACAGCCCTGATGCATTTACACACCAGCGAGGGTTTGTGTGATACAAAGTTGGTAAATAAATTCATCGAACTGTAGGGAGACTTTAATTCCCCTCATGTCCCACTGCTTTGAAAGTATTAACTGGCTCCAGTCTGTGTATTACTTACTGAGCTCCTCATAGGATTTGCGCGGGTAGATTTAGAAACACTGTAGATTCCAATCAAATAATAAGAAATAAAATCATACTTTAGCATATACACAGGTATAGAGCACAAACATTCTTGACAGATATAAAAAGAAAGCAGGAGATTAAATACAGTAAAATTACAATATCATCTATTTACATGAATGATCATTTTCAGTCACTACTGTCTACTCACAGTCCTTGATCACAGTGAACTCAACAGTTTCACTCTGCTATTTGTTTTAATGACATTCTGCTCATTCATTTTTCAGGTACAAATTGTGGATACATGAATTTTTCTTAACGTGGTCAGGGTGGAGAGACTGTGTCCCCCAAAACAGGCCATAAAACGAAAACCTGGACGTACCTGGGTGATCACCCAGCTGCCCTGCTGCCCTGCTTCTCTGTATACAACTGTGGGCAGAACCTAGAGGCTGCAGCTGACTCACTGATCCACCAGGCTGACAGACTAAACTCCCTCCCAGAGCTTAGGCTACACGCACAGGAAGCTCGTCTGCCGCCTCAGGACCCAGGCTGGTGTAGGTGACGGACGGCTCCAGGACTCCAGTACCGAGCTGGGGCTGGTCAGTGACCAGCTGGCCGCCTGTGTTCCTGAACTGCTTGTAGACTCGCGGATCCTGGGCCACATAGGTAGACGAGGTGGCGTAAAGGACCAGGCCCAAGATGATGATGAAGAATGACAATATATAGAGGCCAGAAAACTGCAGAACACAAAGACAGACAGACTTAAAGGGACAGTTCACCTACAAAATGATTGTACATCAGTTACTCACTCCGTGTTTCGTTGAGAAAACACTGAAGAAAACGAAGCTTTCTTCAGGAATTCAATGTAACACAGGGTGAGTAATTAATATACAAATGATACTTTTGTGATTGTTTAGCACTGTCAGACTCAAAATGGACAGTTAAAAAAAGGACCAAAACCACAGATACTGTCGTTCTGTTCTACACATTCCTCTTCCCTGTCAAAACCATCTACAGTACATTACCCACAATGAAAATCAAGCAACCCTAAATGTCTGGATATCTTTTGACCTAGAATCATTAAATAAATGCCTCCTGGCAGTTTGATATTACCTTGTAGTGAAAGAGGAAGAGGCCACAGAAGAAGCTGTACAGGTCAGCAGTGAGCAGGGAGAGATTGACTGAGGTGGCGCTCGTTCTCTTCATCACCACCGGCATGAAGCTGTACAGGCCGAACATGAAGGCACTGAAACCAATGTACAAAAGACCTGCCAACACACAGAGGGCGCAAATGATTTTACATTACATGTACACTGCTTTTTAAAACAATGTTTGAATTACCAGTCAAAGCAACTACAAGGAACTTTCATTTTGTGCTGATTTTGGCGGCACCACCCATGAGCACCACTGCCGTGTGTTGTTAAGATTTTGATATAGCTAGCATGTGCATTTGTTTTGCAAGCCAGTGAAGAAAAGAAGCAACTTATTTTTAATACTGTTTTTTTCAAGCATAGCTGTTTGAAGATTGATAGTAATGTGGTAATATATGTATTTTTGGCTATGTAAGTAAATTTTGTTTTAGTACAGTTCAGACACCTACCTTACATGTTAGTCTACAACTAAGATTTGGTTGCTGGGTTAAAAGGAATTTCGTTGAAGAGCCAACATTAGACATAGTAGGTTGACTTGTTTTTTCACCTGTGCTCCATCTCTGTCCCTTTTATGTTCTTTGGTCAGTTCTTTTCTTTTTCTCCTGAATCCTGATACTGCACCTGTATCACCCGTAACCACAATTTTGAGCCTAACTGAGTGCTCAGGGAAGGGGGCAAGAGCAGTGATTGACACTGCATTAGAGACTCCTCCTGACTCTGATTGGTTGTTTTCGTTCAGGCGCGGTGGATTCATGCAAATGCCATTAGGAGTACTAGGACAAGCAGATTTAAGTATAAGTATTAAGTATAATTATATAGAATTAGCCAATATTCTCACTGCTTAGCTCGCTTGCTTATGTACGTTGTATAAAGGCATCAGTTGAGACTGTTTCTGTCACAATGTGCACTTCCAACCTGCCATACATGCCACTCTCTTCACCCAGTAAATTTCCACTCACCCTGCCTGCCAGCCTATCACCTGTCCACACATCTCCGGCTGCAGCTGGTCCACCACACTCTCCTCATCAAGCCAACTGCTCTCACCTGTGCCTCATTGCTCCCTGCCACTATAAATACTCCAACTCCACAGACTCTTGTTGCCAGATTGTTCTTTGTCATTCTACCCAAGACTTTCAAGTATGTGTTCCCAGATTGCTTTTTTTTCTCGTTGCCAACCTTGCCTGTCTTCGACTCTCCTGCTTCGCCTGCTCCCTGGTAAACCACTCAGCCTTCTGTCCCCAACCAAGAGCTCTGCTTCTACATTCCTGGTTTCTGTTCACTGTTTGGGGTGACCGTCACTCAGCTCTCCATACTGAATTTACCTGTTTATCCGTCTATGGATTACTGTGCTGTGAAATGCTCCGCTGTGTGGCTGCAACGTCCGCTTTTGTGTGTGTGCCACGGATTCCACTCGTCATCGTCGCTGGCAAGACCTTCTCTGTCTACGATTGGCTTCAAACAGGTGTGTCAGCTTCTCTTGTCAGTACTCCTTTTTTTAAGATTTCCTGCTCATTTGACATTGCCTTCTGCCAACTCCCACATGGTATCGTTGCACACAGTGGAATTGTTTGTTGTGTGTTCACAACACTGGCTACTCACCTGTTTTCGGCTTCAGAGTTCTGCGTCAAGAGCCCCGGACTGAACCTGCTTCTCTGAAATCTCTGAACCTGGACACTGACTCTCCCAGTAGTTTCACCAGTTTGCTCTCTCTCTGTATTTATCAAAGTGCCGCATTTAAGTTCATTATAAACTGCTCTGCCTGTCATTGGTGCTGCTTTTGGGTGTAAATCACATGCGTTACAGTTTCATAACCAGTTAAAACCCCTTATAGCTGCTTTAATTACATTTTTGAGGTAATATTACTTGCATGTATGAACCCAAATTGTATGTGTTTGTGTGTTCTCACCTATCTGCCAATCCCAGGGTACCTTCAGCAGCTCCTTGTGTTCCATGATGGCCCTGCAACAGAGCACAAATGCAGATTAAAAGAGTCTCGTTCCAAATTCCCTACACACACAGAGTAGGAACCACATGGTATCCACTGGGAAAATTGTCCCACTGAGCTGTAAACCTATTTCGAACCTTAACAAAAATGGAATCCTTTTGTTGAACACCAGAGTCAAATTTAGAAAGTGTTCAGAGAACTTTCTGATTGAAGTCAACTCATATTTGGCAACAGCATCTGCACCTCTCACATGTTAAGATTAAGATTGGATATTTGTACAGAAGCAAGGGTTCTCCACAAACATGCAAGTAAAGTACAAACACCACAACTTTATACCACTGCCCAGCCTCTTATGAGGTATATCTCTCCCCACCACACAAACTCACAGCTGGATGCCACTGAAGAAAGATCCGAAGAGTCCCATCATGCCCAGGAACTCCACACGGCTCAGATTCTTCACGATGAACTCCTCACAGACATTGGAGATCCCGTACAGTGTTGCTCCTCCCAGAACCAAAAGGTCCCCAAACAGCTTCTGTTCTCCTGACAAATGAGGGAGAACGAAGAGAGAAGACTGCTTTGAGCAAATGAGCAAGAGATGGGCTGCAAGTCAAACGAACTGATAACATCCAAGTGTCCCTGCACCCTGAGCTTGTGAGCCACATTAAGGTCAGGAATATTTCATTTGTGGTTCAGAGTCAAACCAAAAACGACCTGTATCTGTGGGCCGAGATGAGCTGACCACAATCAGATGTACTCACCAAGGCCTTGCTGCCGACCGAGCAGGATGTCAGCTCCCACCATGCAGCCAACACCCAGCAGACACAGCCCTGCCCCGACAAAGTGGACAGCCTTGTACCTCACCAAAAGAAAGAACCAGGACAGCAGCAGGACCACTGGGATGACAAAACAGTCCAACAGCTGAGAGGAAGGACAGAGACACACACAGACATGATGAGTTCTTCAGTCAGTTGTTTCTTCATGCTGGGTGGGTTCATTACTTTTACATTCACGGCAGCAGTGCACTGGAAAATCACCTTGACTGCACAACAGTGGACTAGAACCACAGACTCTTAACCACAGCATCCCTTCCACCAAGGTGGACTTTGTTGTTTGAGCCCAACTTCTCTCTGGCATAGGCCCCTTTCATAGCAGCTAACTGTCCGTAGAATTCACAGCAAGGGTGTGTTGATGACGTTTCTACCAAGAGGCTTTCGCAAAACCATTCATCCGAGGGTGAAGAAGAAGTGTCATTTAAAGGAAGACAGCAACAAAAATGTCTATCTGGAGAGATGGCTAGATTTGGGAGCTTTGTTCGTAAGGGCCAAAGCCAAAGTCATGAGACAAATTTGAGGAACAGCAAAAGACTCTGTTGTTAATTGACCAAATTACAAAACCGCTACTGTTTGTCTAAACCAAAGGGACGATTTCCAGTAGTTAAGACACGGACAATGTCCGGTTGCATGCTACAAGTGTGAAGGAGAAACTTCAGACAATGTCCAGACCTGATTCTCCAGTCATATGAGAAAAGAGCTCAAAACTGGAGGACAGTACTGATACAAAAAGACTCAAAACCAATCTGGATCCTGATCACAGAGGGTTGTCTGATTTATTTATGGTGTGCATTGGGGTTTTAGGTGGTGTCTGTGTTTGGGCCAAAATATCCAGCTGGGAAGAAAAGTGTCCGGAAACACATGAACTTCATATCTGCTGTAGCTCAATGAGCCATCTGGTTGAACTGGGAGAAACATTGCTAAACTGTGGACTTTGTTGACTGCTGTTAAGCAGGTATTAAAAAGAATGCTGAAGGGGTAGAAGAAGCCTGATACACAAGTTTCATATGGGCAGCAAGGGGAGTGCTCCACACAGTAAGGACTGATGAAGATCTGACTTTATCATTTGGACAGTCTTAAATAATTAAGGGTCTGTTGATTTGGTGTTCTTTTTTAAGAAGAGTGGATTTCTAGTGGTTGATGTTCTTTGGAACTTGCTCAACAGGCCCTTTAAAATCACTCAACTGAGTAAGTGAGCCACTGTTTGCACAGCGACCCTATTTTTGTGATAATGTGTTAGGTAGAGCTATACACACTCTAGGATAATATGTGTGTGTCTCTGTAGATACACAAACTGTGTGCAACAGTATCATCTTACTGTGTTTCTGAGCCAGACACTCATGTTAAAAGCCACTCCAGGGGCTCTGTGCCCAGCCCATCTGTCCTGCAGAGATGCTGCCAGATCAACTCTATGGTTCTGGCTATTTTCAGTGCCATTGATTTCTTGCAGTTTTGATCCAGGAATGTAAGTTGATTCCTTCATTTCACATAGATAAGTGCCTCGCTGCCTACATACAGCCCCAATGTAATGTCAAGTATTGAATTTACAATGAGGATTTATTGCATTACTTACAGGAAATTAATGTGATTCTGGGAGAAGAAATACATGTATTGTGTGGTAATAGGCACGATGTAATGTGAGCCAGTTAGAGAGGCATTTTAGTCATTTAGTAGTGTACCTCATCAAGGTAAAAGGACTCACAGGAGGCCTACCTGTTTCATAGAGTTGATGTGAGTATGATGTATCCTGACCTTTGCACCTCGTTTCCACTTATGTTTGGGACTGGTGTCCATATATCTGTAAATATACGGATGATGCCTCTAGTGTCCAGCGCAAGAAAATGCATTTCTTTCTGGATGGATAGAAATCTGATAGAAACTACCTGTAGCCAATATGGGAGAGGGTAATTTTGTTGGGTTTTCGCCATTTAGTAGTTTGGAATATTTGCTTAAAACATTACCGGGACAGAAATAGGACCTGCCAGGTACTTGCTAGCTAAGCTAGCACACTATCATATGGTCTCTCTAAAATCCACCACAAAAGTTAAATTTTTTTGACATACTCGAAGCAAATTCCAGACCAAAATATTATGGAGAGGAGGCACATCGAATATCATGAAGATTCCCATAGGAATGAATGGACTTCCAGTTGGCTCATCACCGTAGGGGAGACTGGGGTAAGTTGAGCCAAAGGGTAAGTTGAGCCACCCCTTGTTGCTAGGAAACCGTAAATAAAATTGAGCATGTGACCAAATATTTAGGAGGAAGGCATCATTTTATGGAGTCTGTGAAGGTAAGAACCACATGAGTTTAGTGGTTAGAGATTTATGTCCAAAAAAGCATTTTTCACTCATGAAAATGAATTTAGTCTATCATAAGTTTCATGGGGATTGTGTTTAGACCAAACTAGATCTTTTTTAATTAGGTTTATACATCAATTGTGGTATCTATTAACTACAAAATTAGGTAGTACAGCTAGCATGAAAGTGCACCATTTTAGCTGTGGGGGCTAATAAAGTCAATATGGTAGCTATGGGGTAAGTTGAGCAATTTGAACAGGGGTAAGTTGAGCCGTAAGTTTCTGAGAAGAGGCAAAGCTGGATATGGTAAACCAAGCTTTACTTTCAAGGAGAAAGATGAGGGATTCTTCCCAAGAAGCGATGTAATCGCAAAACTCCCCAAACCTCAGAGTCCCAGCAGTTTGTATTCCCCTGCAACCTGGACAGGTGAGATATTGAGTAAAGGGGCAGGTGGGATATGGATGGAAGGAGGGAGGGAGGTGGATGGAACGAGAGTAAGATGGAGGGAGGAGTTTAGAGAGGATGAAGGAGGACATATAGAGGAAAGATGATGAGAGAATGAGAGTTTCGGTTCTGAATGCTCAAATGTGTTAATAAACAAGTTCAGATTATTATAATACCTTCATTTCCACAATTGGCCCTCCTGTTAGCAAGGACACCAAACTAGGATTGGAAGGAGGGAGATGGCTCAACTTACCCCAGACACGGGTAAGCTGTGCATGAGACCACTTTTTTTGGACATGCTATATTATCAAAACAGTTATGTTTACACTCATTCTGTTTGTTTGTAGGGATGCACAACGTCCTGAAATATATGCAAATGTATTAGTTAGCAACAAAACTATAATAGCCTTGATGTAGTGATCCTGAATATGAAAAGTGGCTCATCTTACCCCGGTCTCCCCTACACACATGTAAGTGGAAACGAGGCGTTACTCCCTGGTATAGGCCAGGCTTCAAAATCAATTGAGCCTACATTTCCCACAATGCAGCTCAAATGCATCTTTGTTTTAGACCCTCCCCCTGGTAAAAGCCCAGGTCCTTGAAATTCCACCCCATAGTTTGTAAGGAACACATCATTAGGGCCACAGAAGACATTATACAACAGGACGAGTAGTTCTCAGCATCATTCTGATGTGTGTAAATTGCAGTATTCTTTCATGTTATGTCTTGAAAGTGAGGGTAAACAAAGTTTTACACACACACAAACTTACCTGTACACTGGAGAGTGTAGTGTACTGGTAAGCTTTAAGCACCAGGTAGTTGGCCTCGATGTCTATCAAACCCAGAATCATGTATTTCCACCAGCGCTGCTTCAGAATTGCAAGCAGGTTCCCTTCCCCTAGTGAGACAGAGAAAGAGAGACAAGGAACATAATGGAAACACTAAAGCATATCAGTGGAAGTTATGCATCAACAGAACACAGAGGACAGACATTGTATACAGCTGATTCAGATTTGCCTTTCCAGTATATAAAGTCCTTTACTGCTCCCTAGTTTGGACCTTGACTTACCTGCATCAGCAGTCATCTCATCTACAGCTGCCTCATCAACATAAACAAACAAACAAAGACAGCCAACCACTGCAGCAAGTGGAGAAGATGACCCAGCCCATTACAGCATACTACCTGAGGAAGACCACGTGGCTTTAAACATAACATTTAACTGCCATGACAGTTTTTAGCTTCAAACCATCAGACTCCCAAACACTGACTCTTGTTTGAGTGTATAAAGATGAGTGTAAGAAGATTAAAGTGTTATATCTTCACTCAGACACCAGTGATCATCGGAAGGCTGTTATCCAATGGTTCGGCTGAAGGCATATGAGAATGTCTTTATTTTTTTTTTTCTTCTCTTGTGTATTATGTGTATTATTATTTTATTACTTGTGCAAATAAATGTCTTACCTTAGTGGCATAATTGACTCATGTTGTCTCATTCCTGCTGTTAGAGTATTAGGAGTAAGTTGTGAGTATGACTAGGAAACAAATCTTTACCTTTATCTGTTTAGAGAACAGAATAGAGAACACAGGCTGGACAAAATGCAGTGGTTGTGATGGTGAATTTCACATCCTCATAGAGAACTCTAGGAGAGGTAATGGCCTGCAAAGACTCAATTAGAACTATAATGGACAACTGGCCAATTTAAGGTACCAACCCCTTTTCAGGGCCAGTATCCCACACACCAGGATGTGGCCCACTCAGTTACACAATGCAATATTAAATGCATATTAACTGATGTGTTATCCAAAGCATGTTTAACATGCTAATTTCGAAACAGGAACCATAGAAACTGAGCCAAGAAGGTTTTGTCTGGGTGACTGAATTCTGGGCTCGCCTGGATCTCCACTGAATCCCTGAGTTGCACCGAATGTGCTGATGGCTGGCATCCAGCGACTTTAAAAGAAACTCTAACTCCACACACATCTGACAAAAGCTGCCACCATCACTCCAGCCAAGTGGGAATGAGCAAAGGTCCCGCTGACTACTGAGAGGCAGAGATGAATTGATCAGCTCGAGCTGAGTCACCATGTTGGACCGAGCAGACCTGAGAAAGCCTGAGAACTCCAGGAAGCCCTAGAAAAGAATGAGCTGTCAGTTCCCTCCAGAGAATCCTCTCCCCTGGCAGCTGGAACGGGCAGGTCAAACTTTACATTTTCCTGTTACAGTAGGGTTATTGGTAGGCTTGGGCAGAATTTGTTTTTCTATATCTTCATTCCCTTCATTCACATTTCATCAGGATATACGATGGTATTTGTGTTAAAAAAAATGTATGCTAGAAGTCACTGTGCCCCCCACACACTTCATTCACACAGGACAGAAACAAAATAAAACTCACCAAAAATGTCTTTCCATTCTTCCAACAATGCCAAACTCTAGTAAATCCCTAAACCCTTAATTCACAGTTAGATGTGAAAATATGTTTGTTTTTCCCCTATTGTCTCACTCTGCTATTGCTGGCAGGCTTTTTACCAGCCCTGTAACATTATCCCCACTACTCACAGTCGTCATCTTTTTCAGCTCAGCTGCCTGTTCCACCAGCAGAGACTGACCTCTGGTGGCACAGGCCGTGCACTACAACACGTCGCCTCAAAGCTACATGTCCGCATCTGTTTAACAGAAAGAGAAGCGGCTGTATTTTTGACGGTATTGAAAATAATACTGAATACTGTCATAGGCGGCAGTAGCTCAGTCCATAGGGACTTGGGTTGGGAACCAGAGGGTCGTCTGTTCAAGTCCCCGTCCGGACCAAATATGGAGCGTGGACTGGTGGCTGGAGAGGTGCCAGTTCACCTCCTGGGCACTGCCGAGGTGCCCCTGAGTAAGGCACCGAACCCCCCAACCGCTCGGGGTGCTTGTCCAAGGCAGCCCCCCTCACTCTGACATCTCTCCACTTTGTGCATGTATAGGTCCTGTTTGTGCATGTGTGTGTCTTTCAGACCTGTGTGTTAATGACAAAATAGTGAAAAATTGAATTTCCCCTCAGGGGGATTAATAAAGTATATACATTTTTTTAAAAAATACCATGATACCACCTAGTTGATGCTGGCACAATCTGATGTACACTGTAATGCCAAGAGACAATGTTATGTGTTATACGCCTTACATATATAAGCATATTCTCACAAAACAACAATGCAACAATAGTTCTAATGTCATGAACGTCATTCACACAATGACATTTGTGACAGTTGCATCTGTGTCGATCACTCCCTACATGGCAAAAGGTCATGTGAGATCCTGTAAGTGACTTCATAATCAATACTGTACAAATGGGAGCTAGAGGGAAATCTAATTTGTCCACGTTTTCTGGTTTGCATTGCTTCATTTGAAATAGCCGGGATATTCTGCGTGTGGAATTGGAGCAGCTAATAATACATACAAACTGTGCTGAACTTGGTTGAACCGGTCAATAAAATATTTGATAATGACCTGTAACCGTAACCCTCATTGTACCAATGTGCCAGTTATTTTGGGAACACACAGAGAGCACATGAAAAACAAGATGATGTGTACAACAGGTGTACACATTCAAAAGTGTTTCAGCCGATGGTCGATGCTAGCGTGAATATGATCTATGCCCAAAAAAAAAGGATCCTTCTCAAGTTAGACCACATTCTGGGTACATAGTAGTGCGTGCTATATTGTTTGCTTTTCTTCTCATGTTGTGTGCATGTGTGCGGACATTGGCCAATTTGATCATGGAATTCACACAGTAAACATTTCTGCCATTTTGAGTATTTTTGTATGTCTACCTGTCTGTCTGTTTGTGGACATATTTTGTCAATGTAATAACATCACAACTGTTTACACACTTTACGGGTATGTAGTTGAGATCAAAATGACGACCAAGTTTAAAAATGGGTGGTCCAAGCAAGGAAACCAGAGATAGGAAGGTCGGAAATGGGGAAGGGGCTTTACGTCCCTTGTCAACATTAGCCTTAGACTGCAGATTGCTGTATCGCAGCTGGAGCTATCCCATCTCAAGATGGTGTCTAGTTTGCAATTTAAAACTGAAAGAAAGAAAGGCTTTATGTGTAGCCAATCATTTGGCTCCGAAGAACTGCTTTTAATAAAAATCTGTATCAGTGTCAGTGATTGTAGCCTGGGTATTATATGGTACTGAGTAGAAAACAAATATGTGGTGTCGCCCACTCCTAGTTTCAGTTTACTTAATCTTGAAACCCATCAGCTATCATTATAACAACGATAAGACTGCAGCAGCCACAGCCAATATGTCCAGAGATATGATGAAAATCTGCACTGGTCATTTCAGCTTATCTCTTTAAGATCATATGTGCACAGGAATGCAAATACATGAGAAAAACAGCTAATGAAAGCTTGCATCATTTTCAGATGATAGCCGATGGGTTCCAAGATTGCACTCTGCCCAATGCATTCTGCCTCTTTTGCTCTCCATGCTGCTGCTTACACGTGATTGGTCAGTACTATTCAGCAAACAGGAATCAAAATCTTGTCTTGTTGCCTGCAGATTCTGCATTCATATGCAGATATCTATAGAGAGATACTTACAGCATTTACATCAGGGTCTCACACACACACACACACACACACACACACACACAGCTCTCAGTTTCTGTCTGTACTGTACCTTGCCTGACTGCCAGTGTGGTGGTGTAGACCAGAAACAGCAGGATGTAGTTGAGAAAGCTCTGGAACACAGGCGTGTTAGCGTGGAAGTCATCGGCCAGGTACTTGCTGGTCAGACTGATGGCACAAATCAACAAGGACAGGACCTGACCCAGGGCCAGGGTCACCAACAGGTCCCTGCAGAGGACAGGAGACACAGACAAAGGGTCATCAGTGTTTCAATGAGGACAATTTTTACATCATGATACAATATGATAGTCTCAGTATAAGCCCCAGTGTGACATCAGCAGTCACATATATTTCAGTCAGTAATATGGTAAGTGCTTTGTGTTTGACACTAATACATCATGAAATCATACAGTACTTGGTCACTACAAAAAGATCATTTGTTATCAATTACTTTACCATGTTACTTTTTGTGAAGAAGAGATTTTCTCACATGCCTTCATTGAACGAAGAATCCAAAAACTGAGAAAAAATCTTCGTCAAAGAGGTCTGCATTAAATAAAAGCAAAACTATATCAAAACATCCATTTACAAACTCTCACACAAATCATGCAGTATAATCCAAGTCTCATGTATCCATTCGTATGGTCAGTACTTCCAAAACACATTCATTTTTTGCTAAAACATTAAGTTTTATAACACTTCTGCATATGACTAGCGCACCTGGACAAGCATGTGTTCAACTCTGCCCATGCATTCCATTGAGCAGAGTTTCCAACACATGCCCAGGATCGCTACTCATCTGTACGTGAGAAAAAATGTTTTAAATATCATGGTTTTTATTCCTGCTGTGATTATACTGCAAGTATGTGAATTTGTAAACGGATGTTATGTTGCGGACCCTTATGACTTCAATTCATCACGAATTTTCTCACTTTTTGGATTCATCATTCACCATGGAGGCATGTGAGAAAAACAAAGTTTTCGTCACAAATTCAACGCAACACGGGGTGAGTTATCAAGACACAAATGATTACTTTGAGGGTGGCATATTCCTATCACCACCACCATATCACCACCTCTTAAGTTGATATGATTCTGTTAAAACAGTTGCGATGTCCTATTTATTTGAGCTCCTGTTGCCTTCCTGTCATCTTGGCTGCTCACTGTAAACTCTGGAGACTGTTGTGCTTGAAAATCCAAGGAGAGTCAAAGTCACTTAAGATCCCATTTTTTCCCCATTCTGATGTTTGGCCTGAATACCAACTGAACCTCTTGACTATGTGCTACATGATTATATATTTGCATTAACAAGATGTAACAATGAAGTGTAAAGGGAAACCTATAGCTGCCAATATATCATTTGCAGAGATATCAATATCTGTATCAGCCTCTAAAGCATTATCTGTTAGACTCCATATCCATGAGTTTATGTTTTCAGTGGTTAAAATTAAAGCTGACTTATTTTGAGCCTGACTACTGAATTTAAGAACAAGGCGGATCATTTTGGCCTTAACGGCAGCTCAAAGTGAGCTGCAGCTTTTTCTTGCCAGTGAGTTATAAGTGGAACTCTTGGTTTGGACAAATACGACCAACATGAGTTTATGTGCAACTTCTTTCCTGTCTGGATAACTGTGACCGAGAGGCCAACCCAATATGGTGGGAATATCTACCAACTGTATTATTTGTGGTGTATGTACAGTTTTGTATTTTATTCAGTTTGCTTTTCTGACATGTCACCTTTCTTTGCTTGTTTGGGAGCTTGCTTTGTTCTGTCCGCCTACTTTTAATAAAGGATTTATTACAATAAGATTCCTCTGTGTCCGTGGCAGCAACAAGACAAGAGCATCACCTTACACACATACACACACACACCAAACACAGTGACATGGGCCTGATATGCTGGTCTCAAATTCAGCTTTGCAGCCAGGCTCAACAATCACAAGCGAAACCAGGGATAAAAGTGCAGCAGATGGCAGGTAAGGGTAGGGGACAAGGCTTGTATGTGTGTGTTTGTGTGTGTGAGAGAGTGTGCATGAGAATACATGGGGAGTTTGCAAGAGACAGTGAGAGTGAAGCATGTAGGCAGACATGAATGAGACAAGAGCAGGACAGCAGCCATTGTGCAGCACAACCTCAGCACAGGCTGATAGACCCAGCATGGCAGCCAGCAGGCACCGAACCAGCACACCGTGTCCAGGCTGCGCTCCAGTACCACAGGGTGCAGGAATGTCCCCAGTCAAACGCTTGAGCACACACACACACACACATACACCACACACCACACACACACACACATGCACGATGTGATGCTCATGCAAAGGGCAGATGCAGGATGGTTGTAATGTTGACATCTGTTGCACAACATGCTTCCTGCAGCAGCAGCAGCAGCAGACTGGATATGACGGCTTGATGTTACAGGTTGTGTCTGAAACAAAAGGTGTCCGCAGTGATGAGACGCTGCTGCCGCCGTGACTGAGCGTGGAGTGAATGCAAAGGGATGCTCTCCGTCATCATCACCTTACCTGGTTAAGACCCTCCTGATCCGCTGGTAAAGGCTCGGCGCCGGGGTGCCCGTACCTCTGGGAACGCTCTCCACAGTGGAGACGACAGACATCATCCTTCCACAGACTGAGCGGAGATCAGCGCATTCTGCTCCGGGGAGAACCGGAGGAGGAGGAGGAGGAGGAGGAGGGGACGGGGAGCAGGCTCACCTCAGCGGCGGAGGAGAAGCAGCAGCGGAGCCTCCTGGTCTCCGTGTGGCAGGCAGCAGTGCAGCTCAGGGGGAGCACACAGCAGCGTGTAGTAATTATGTTATTCAGGTGGCACTAACCTGCTGCAGGGATGTCCTTCCCTGGTGAGAAACTACGGGATTCAGAGCCAGCTCCTGCATTTATCACGGAGAAGCTGATTTCACCACAAGGTGGCGCCCTTTCACCCAGACACCCTCATGGGATGAAGACGTAATACATCAGGATGTATGAGCATGTCTAACTCAGGGCACAGTCCTGTGAAGTTAGTCCTTGCATGCCTGCAACGACAGGCTTTAAAAGTCCAAAATAACTACTCTCAAATTATGTTACCACTTGTGATTTAAAACTGGAATCATTTTGTGGGTTAGTGAAACAGGGACAAAGCTGGCATTTTATAATTACATGAGGCCAAATTCCTCCCATGCCATTCCTGCTCCATTTCCTCTGTGTCCATCAGCAGCTCAGTCAGACATCTAGTTGTTCAGTCTGAATACTGTTTAGAGTGCTGATTTCAACCTTTTCTTGAAGAAGCACCACCACCCCCGGTTAGATGAACTCAAGTTCACATTTACTGTTGGTGAGGGGGTGGGGGGACTTCAGTCGACATCTTCCGTTTCTTTCCTTTCTCACATCTTCATCTCCACCTACCTACACTCGTATTTCAGCCCTGTGTCCATCAAACACTTTCAGTATGGTACCTTTGGAACCAAAAGTAACCCTTCAGACATGGTACCTAGACCCTAGCGTCTCCACCGCAAACAGCACTCTTTCATGTGGTTGGGGTTGCTGTCACTCACTGCTTTGTCCATACTCACTGTATGTCCTCCTTCATAAGTCTACACCTCATTTATCATCCACAGAACGAGGTTGCACGTCGACATTTTCAGAACATAATAGAACAGGTTGGAGTGAGTTTCTCTCAATGGTGCATTTAAAAATGACGAATTTATGCATTTAGTTCTTCTCAGGCAAGCTCAGGGTTTAGTGTTGCCGGAGCCCACAGGAACAATGCTCCGCAACACTTTTTTTTTTCTCCAAGTGAGGATTAGAATATATGCAGTTCACATAATCCCGTCAAAACTGAAATATAGTTGGGGTGTTGGTGGCTTAGTGGATAGAACAAGCGTCCTATGTACAAGGCTGTTGCCGCAGCAGCCCAGGTTTGATTTCAGCCTGTGGCCCTATGTTGCATGTCACTCATTTTTTTTAAATATCTTTAAAAAGAAAAAAAAGAAATTGAAATATAGTTTTAAACACTTGAAGATCCACTCATTACTAAAAGCCTGTGTCATCCAAGAGAGACCATAATGGTCAAAGTTGTCACAGTAAAATTTAAGGTGTGCTGATGGATTCACATTGTCAACTCATGCATTGAGTGACAGTACAAGTAAGCGTTCCACCTTAAAAGTCACCGGCAGTCAGCCCAGTGAATTATTTTTTCTCAGACTACAGCTGCTGCGAGAGGCAGAAAAACATCCTTTATTTTTTAGCCACAGTTTACTAAAATATGTAAGACCTGCCACAGTATGAACAGTAGTTACATAAACCCAGCAACTCAGCCCTGAGCAGAGTGACCGTCCAATATTGACCAATCAACAGACTGCAGTGTTCACAGCTCCTCCTTTTAGTACCAGATCTGTGTTCTAGGTACCCCAACAGAGGGGTGATAAAAAACAACAACACAACTTTTCACAGTGGAAATTCCACGTACCCCCTGGTTACTGCAGAAGTACCCCCTGGGGTGCAAGAAGCCTACCCCTGGTTGGGAATCACTGGTTTAGCAGCTTAATTTCATCATCATTTTAGGGTGCTTTCACAGCTGTAGATGGGTTCATTTGGTCAACACCAGAGGGAAAAATATGATACATTGTTGCATTCTAGTTTTGGTTCGGTTCCTGTTCACACTGACATTTTGCAAACAAACCAAGAGGGAGTAAACATGGAGTCCTACTGACTGACAGGTTACTCACTGACTGGACAGTTTTGGTGTTTGTCATCCTGTATCATCAAGGACCCACGTGGGGAAATCAAATTCTGGTGACTCACAGAAGTTAATGCAGCAGCACTTTAATACTTCTAAAGTGTTTATATTTATGACATCATCAAGAAATAACTGATTGTATGCATTATAAGTGAGCTATTATTAGACTGCAATCATTATAACTCATGTTATGAATAATGACTAAAGTAGAGACAGGATGAAAAGAAGGCGTCTTGTACAGTAACAATTCGGAGCTTCAATGCTGTGGCATCACTGTCACACACTTTTTAATGGACTTAATGAACCGAAAAAGTGCACGCAGTCGGATACACTGATGGCAGCTTTAACAGCTTTTTAATCAGGGAGAATACCCTCACTGACATGCAAATGTGTTTCCATGGTTACATGTATGCATTAGCATAAATAGGTTATGGGATATAAGAGGCCTTTATCAGGATCAGTTATGAGACACACACGTTTTCACAATCAGCAGATAGCTGTTGAAATTATGTTAAAATCACATATCTGCTGTCATAAAATCCTGTGGTTTGTTTGTTTTTTTCTGACACCACAAATGAACCGCACCAGAGTCCATTTGGAAGCAGGCCAAGACCCACCTTTTCGAGGGATCTTGGTTTGGTTGTCTGGTCCACGCCAGGGTTCAATTAACAGCTTTCACATCAGCCAAAGCTAACCGTACTAACCGCGCAAACAGACCTTTTTTTTTTTTTTTTTTTTAGCTGAACCAAACTGCTTAGGTGTGGAGGCACCCTCAGCGTGAAGAGACTCAAAACCTGTTCAGAATGAGTATGTAGTATATAGATTTGGGACACAGCTAAGGATTACCCCCTATACTAAATGCTAGCAATAAATATCATGGTAAGCTCGTAATTAGGTTTTTTTTTTCTTTCTTAGTTTATTTTTTGTTTTTACCACGTGTACTTTCTGAACTTCTGAACACTAGGAAAAAAAACCTACAGTAGCCCGGAACAGTCAGTCAACTGCCAAGAAACTTTTTTTAATGTAACAGATTACAGTCAAGATTGTGATCTATCATGAGCCACTTCATGGAGGGATGAGGGATGTTTCTGGGATACTGCTGTCTGTTGATATAGAAAGGTAACATGAAGAGGACTGTGTTGAGGAATGAATGACATAATGTAGAAAATTAAAGGAGCAGTTAGAGAACAGAAAAAAATTTGAATGTAGCCATGCACCAGACACAGTGTACATGATTACAGGCTATGGTAGGATGTCTGTTTATAGCTGCAGAGGACTTTGAAACACAGTGGCATGAAGTAATGGGCTAAGGCATTGCGATAATGAGTTATAGCTTACTTTTATGTTGTACCGACTTTACCACACCTGATGGTCAGAGGACTGGGATGACATTAACTCAAAGAAAAAAAATCACTGTATGAATGTTAAAAACTGTAAATGTGACACCCACTCTATCTCAGTGTGCTGTCACAACATAGTGGTTTTTAAACTTTTTATCAACTAGTAAGATGAATTTCATTGATTATCACTGTCTCGAACATGACATGTTTATTATTACTTTCTGTTCATTCATTTTCCATAACCGCTTATCCTGTTGGGGGTTGCGGGGGTGCTGGAGCCTATCCCAGCTGACATTGGGTGAGAGGCAGGGTACACCCTGGACAGGTTGCCAGACTATCACAGGGCTGACACATAGAGACAGACAAGCATTCACACTCACATTCACACCTACGGACAATTTAGAGTCACCAATTAACCTGCATGTCTTTGGACCAGTTTGAACCAGAGGGACATTTTATTGTTCCATCTTATTATTAATTTGATTGTTTGCACAGCAAACGTTTTGATTTGTCCTAGCAGGGAAAGCACAGGTGAAACAATTCATGTTTTTAAATAATAATATTGTCAAGCCAGATGAGGTAAGAAACGTTAGCGGAAGGGCAAGTAGGTCAGCGTAGAAGTAATGGACAGTTTGAGTAATCATTTTATATTTATATTTGCCTCCAAATAAGTTTGTCTAACCTTGAGGTTGGTTTCCAGCCTCTGATCATCTGACTGCTTGTGTTTCTTATTTTTAGTGATATTACCATGTTCCCGTATGGATAAAGTTATTATTAGTGATAGAAATGTTGTCAAATCTATGGGATTAAGACTCAAGTTGAGTGTGAAAGTTCATCCAAATAGTATTTTGGCAAAATGATCTAAACACAAGGTCCATTTACTTGCTTTTTGTAGAGTTTCATCAATATTTGACATCATCTCATGTCTGCATCAGCGAAAGGAGATAGCTAAGGTGTCATTATGAGACCCAAATATGGACCCTGGTTATGTGTTAAGTTACAACTCTGTTAAGGAAACTATGTCAGTCAAGATTAGTTAAAGGTCCAGAGGGTAGGATTAGAGGGGCTATATGGCAGAAATGGAATATAGTAGGCTATATAAGTATGTAAGTATTTTTTTTTCTTTAATCACCTAAAAATAGAAGTCGGGTCCTTGTCCATAGTGATCACCATGTTGCACCACTATGTTTCTACAGTAGCCCAGAATGGACAAATCAAACACTGGCTCTAAATAGGGCCATTCATGTTTTCATGTCAGCCACCGTAGTTAGCAGCCCCTCCACAAAATCTTTAATGCGAAACTGTTTTATTTAGTGTCTTTACTGGTTCAAATCACAGTCTGTTTGTTTTGGAGAGGAGGAGACCTCTGTAGATAATTCCACTCCAAGTAAAAGTTAGAGAAAAAAGGTACACACAGATAAGCAGGTGCTGGGCTAGCAGTCTGTGCTCAACAAGCCAAACAGCATTGGAGATTTATAACATGAAACTGCTTTATTCATTGTATTGTGTTTACCAGTTTCAATCACCAGATCTGTTTCTTCTGGAGAGGAGGAGACCTCTGTGGGCAATTCGGCTCACAGTGAAAACCTTCTGAAGAAAGAACACAGACAGAATTCTTACCAGGAGAAGTTTCAACTGGTTGCAATCTGCAATCCTCACCACTGGAAACCACTAAATCCCCCCAAATTTTATACACCAAACCTTCAATATTTGGAGCTGTTAAAGGTCCACCTTATAGGATTTAGTGGCATCTAGTGGTGAGGTTGCAGACTGCAACCAACTGAAACTTTTGGTGTGTGCTAAGCATGTAGCGGATCTTTGCTGGCCGAGGTGAAAACACAAATTATCCTGTTTAAAGCCAGTGTTTGGCTTGTCCGCACTGGGCTACCATAGAAACAACATGGCGGACTCCTTGGAAGAGGACTTTTGAGGGCAATTTGAAGTAGTGGCCAAGCGTGTAATTAGATTAGAATAGATTTAAACTGTGAAAGAGACGTCTGTAAATCAGTGGATACATTTTTTTGAGTGTCAAAACCACCATGAAATGAGTCGTTTCATTAACTCAATTAAATTCATTCGGTCCGATAAGACTTGGAAAGTCTAGAAGAGCCGCACTATTAAGTCATCTTATCCCTTTCAAGTTAGCAGAGGGCTAAACCAGAAGATAGCTGCTCTGGCGCCGCAAATTTCTAATGTGCTTGCTCTATGGGCCCCACGGTGCGAAAGAGCAGCTTAACATAATGCCATGGAGATCAAGCTTTTTGACTTCCTGTGCCACTGAGCTGTTGTCACAGGAACGAACGAGGCCCCACCTCAAACACTGTATCCAGTTCTCTTTATATTCTTCCATGAAGAGGACCTGCTTTGTATGTCGATATAAATGGCTCATTGTACAATCAGTATTTTCAGGTGACAATAGTGAAAACAGTTATAAATATTACCATTTCTGCCAGTAGATGCCAGTAAATCCTACACACTAGAACTTTAAGATTATTTTGTCATAGGGTTGTCCTTTAAAAGAGACGTGAAATGAACTTTTCATCAGGAGACACAGATAGACAGACAGTGTATTTCTTTATTTCAGAGCTTGGTCAGTCCAACAGGAGCCTTAAACAAACTTCTGTTTGTGTCTGAAGCAACACTACACATGAACACACGACTGCAAGCTGGAGGCCACAGGGACAAACACAGAGCCACATGAATTTCTCATATTTACACATTATTAACCACTCTGTCCCTAAGCTCAACTTCCGCTGGTCGGCTCACGTGTTGTTGGGAGTTGAGCTTCTCCCAGAAATGCAGCTGTATTTCCCAGGGTGCCTCACGAGGACAGGCACAAAGCCCTGTTTCTTCTTTGTTATCTGCTGAGTGAAGGCGAGTCATTTTCTTCAGCAGAAAACAGCAGCTGGAGACTGAATGACAAACAGTGAGCCAGAGGGTTTGAGAGGACAGAACAGGGTTGTCTTCTCATGTCAATGTGTGTCTCTGATGTGCTATTTTCTCTCGGCTCTGAGAGCATGTTCCAGAAGTCCTGGAATGTGAGTTTATTATAAGACAAGAGCTGGTGGCAGGAAGTGAGCTGGCTGGCTTTGTCTCCTGGTTCTCTCGCCTTTCAGCTGTCTTAGTCTGTTAGAGATCCAGGAGATGGACAGAGTTGGGGAGAGAAGAGGGACACAGCGAAGCATGGAGGGGTCACCACCTGTCCAAACTCTCCTCTGACTCTGTGAACCCCACTCTTCTTCCTGTCTGAAGAGCCTGACACTGGCCTGCGTATCACTGACCAAGCCGCTGCTGACAGGCACCGTACCGCTGTAGGACACCCAACAGGTCCTCGTAGGAGACGTTTCTGTGGGAGGGCAGTGAGCTGAGGACACAGAACAGGGCACACACTTTAACACAGGAAGTATCTGTACACAAGTGAAGGCACCCAGAGAGAAAAACACAACAGCACTGAAAGTTGAACAGTGCCATCTACTGCTCATGTTCAAGGTTTAATTTTGGCTTTTTTATAATATCAAATACTGTGTATGCAAAATCAAGTAAGCCCAATTGAGAATTCTTAGTGTGTGCATCATTGATGTATTCAAGTGGCACATCCAAACACGCAGACCCAAAGACAGACAGTAGCTTACATGAATTCAGTGAGTCTGATGTGCCAGGGGAGGAAGCCCAGTGTGCTGTCCACTGGACCAAACTTCACCACCAGCTCAGGGTCTGGGATGTTCTTAGACTCTGAAACAAGCACAAAGACAGGCAGCATGTCATCAACACAACTGATTTATCCATATGGACTCTTTAAAGGAGCACTTCACCTCCCAGATGATTATTTGTATACTAGTTGCTCCCCCTGTGTTCCGTTGACTTTGTGAAGAAAATGTTGTTTTTCTCATATGCCTCCATGGTGAATGAAGAATCCAGAAAGGGACATATTCTTGATGAATTGAAGTCATAAGGGTCCACGTTTAACAACAGCAAAACTACATCAAAACATCTGTTTCCAATCTCTCACACAACTTGTGCAGTGTAATTCAAGTCTCATTTATCCAGTTATATGCTCAGTACTTCACAGACAGCCCTTTCTGACAGGGAATTGAACTAGAGGTGAAACTTATTTATGCTCTCTACAAAGCCAGACTCCATCGACAAAAAAAGTAATTCTACCTCGCTGAACACAGGAGCTGCTGGTTTACCACTGCCTCGATCGGTGCTTTGTTTGTGTTATCAAAAGATTTTGGTGTTTTAGAGGGTATGTTTAGACTCACCAAAGTCACACAGAAACGCATACAAATGACTGAGGCAGCAGGAGACTACCAGCTCTCATATTCAGTAAGGTAAAGTGACTTTGTGTAAATGGAGTCTGGCTTTGAAGAGAGCATAGAAAACTTTCTCTTTTAGTTTAGTTCAATGTCAGAAAGAGCTGTCTGTTTGGAAAGTACTGAGCATACTAATGCATGAATGAGACTTGGATTATACTGCATGGGTTTTGTGAGAGTTTATGAACAGATATTTTGATATAGTTTTCGTGCTGTTAAACATGGACCCCTATGACTCCAATTCAACAAGAATTTTCTCAGTTTTTGGATTCTTTGTTCACCAGAGGCATGTGTGTGTGATAAAAACTCTGAAATCCAGTTCCATCTCCCATTTCAACTGTTTATTAAAATCCCTCTTGCCATAATTGACGCAACTGTGAAATACCTTTTTAATATTCTATAAATGGGGGGAAGGAGGCGGCATGCACTCGATCAATTTTAAGGGTGAAATGACGCACTTAACGAGTCATTTGTTTTATGATAATGCACATAGAGAAAGAGTGGGTTAACAGAGCAAGACGATAACCACCTTCGTAATAACAGTGTCTCTGATAGAGCCTGGCTCTGTCGAACTTGCTTCGTGGTGCTCCCCTCAGATCTCTTAGAGCTATTTGTTTTTTAAACAATTGTGACTAAGACACATATTGAGTTGGACATCTCAGTGTGAAAATCTCCCTGTGAGTAATCTGTGGTGTAATTACATGACCTCAGACCTTGTTTGTCAGATAAATACGTATATGTGTAATATATCGACATGGATGATTTATGCCCACTAAATGAAAGAAACATAAATAATCACTATCAGGAAAACAGAATACTATTAAACACATGTCCTCTTCTGTATGCTGCAAATAAAACCTAGAATATCAGTCACTTCCTGTTAACGAACCCAGCTGTGTGCAGGCTGGTGTGTCACTCAGGCTATACACGTGTGTACGTGATCTAAAGTGTATTTCAATGTTCATGTTTATGTGCTTCCGTTTCCGGTGTTGGGCTCTGCGTGCTGCCAAAACGCAGGTGACCTACACTCATTACCGCTCCTGAACACATCCTGCGTAGGCACAGGCATAGCTGCTGATGCGGCTCTGCTAACGCGCTGCTCACGCTACGCCTCCTGTGTAGATCCGGTGTAAAAATAAAGCATAATGTCGCAGCTGTGACTGGGGCAGCTGATTTGCTCTGTTCCCTGTTGGTTCACTAAACCAGGTGGGAAGCTACAGTGCAGCTTTGTGTTCCCCCCTGAGGTGTTATCAAGATGTTCACCAGCATACGATCATGGGGATGTAATTAGTTTTGTGTGTAGGTTGTGGCAGTAAGGCCTGCTTAATGCTGCACTGTTTTGATATCAAAGATTTATTAGAAAATATAAAGCTGAGACATGTTTGACACACTGCATCCAAAACACAAGAGACATTCAATGTGAGAGACACAAGCCCACCAGACAAATGAAAGTATATAAAGACAAAAAGTGTGTTTTGATATGATTAAAGGCTTGGGGACTTTCATACACAGTCATGACGTGGTACCTCTGAGCAGTATGTCCAGCATGGAGACGCTGATGTCTTTGGAGTTCCTCTCTTTGTTCTCCACAGAGCGACAGAGCTGCTGCGCTGCCTGGACGATGCTCTGCTTCCCGTCCTCTGGAGACAACACCTTCACTGTGGGCCTACAGGACACCACTGACAGACACACAAACGCCAAACATGATTAGCTTCCACTGCCGATCATTAGCATTTGAGCATAATGAAAAATTCCTGGTCCTGCATCTTTAAAGCGAGACTGACGGTCACTGATCCTGCAGTTCAGTCCCTGCCTGTGGGTCACAGCCAGTGTTGGGGAAGCTACGTTGAAAGCATAGCCCTGCAAGCTACAACTTACTTCACACCGGAAGAAGCTGAACTATAGCAAAATTAACCTCGGGAGAAATGTAGTTTGGTTGACTAAGCTTACTACTTTTATTTGCATTTTAAATAAAATGATCATATTGACAATATACTTGTGATATGAACTTAAAACATAAAGTACAGTACAAAAAGTTATATGCCAACAAAAAATGCTACTCAATGCAAGTACCTACTTGTTCACCAGTCAAACATAAACCAAACAAATAAAATACCCCATAATTCATGTGACAGTGTAGGAATGTCAGCTTTGGTTTTGGAAGAGGGATCCCTCCTCAGTTGCTCTTCATGAGGTTTCGACCATTTTTTACCCTGTTAAAGGGTTTTTTGGAGAGTTTTTCCTTATCCGCTGTGAGGGTCCAAGGACAGAGGGATGTCGTATGCTGTAAAGCCCTCTGAGGCAAACTGTGATTTGTGATACTGGGCTTAATAAATAAAATTGATGGAGAATTAATGGCAAAAAACCTTTAAAAACAAGCGAGATATATTCCAGTCTCTTCTGATTTTTGTAAGAATCTGTGTCAAACAGAAGAAAGGGTAGAAATATTTTAGTAATTTTACAAGAAGTTATAAAAAACTGTTTCACATCTAAAAAGGTGGTAAATCTCCAGGATTGGATGGCCAACCAGAACAATGTGAATTTTATCATGAGACGGTAGTGGAAAAGGATTTAAAACCAAGTGAGGAGTCACTGATAATAAAAAACACAAGGACCCTGGATCCAGGTAATTATACAACTAGAGGTAGAGCATGGATACTCAATTTGCCATGGCCGGCGGACACTATTGCAAAATTTCAGGAGGCCAGGGGCCAATTAATAATCAAACATAAATGAATTGCCTGTTTTCAACCTTTTAAGGTTTGCTGACCTCAGTCATCTTTGCCAAACGGCAACTCCAGTTGCAGCAGCCCCACACAGATCAGGTGTACGCAGAGGCGTGTTGAGGATTTGAGAACATTCAGGGGTAAGCCCAGACCTCTGTTGGAGTATCTGGGAGATCCTCCGCTGGCACTTTATTTTTAAATTTAAAAAGCTATATTTCAATGCTTTTCATGCACTCTGGCACCTTATATAAATCTAAAGTACAAAAAATCCCACTGTGAATCAGTTTATTTTCATTGCGAGTTAGAAAATGATCGGTGGACCACACAGCACCCACAACACGATTCAGCCCGCAGTTCGTAAAATGAATGAGTGGGTTAAAGTAATGCGGATGAGAAAATTATATCTCAAACTCTGGCAACAATATTAGAAAGGCTTACACCAAATATAATACATGTTTACCAGGCAGGATTTGTAAAAGAGAGGAGCTGCTCTGATAATATTAGACAAACTCTCCACTTACTGTGGATGAGTAGAGATTCTAACCACCCTGTCAATGTTCTCAGGGTGAAAGTTTCTGGTGGAATATGCCCTCCACAGGTTCAGCTCCAGGGCCAGGATTTTTTAATTGGATCTGTATATTATATAATAGCCCAAAGGCTTCAATACAGACAAACTGAATTACTTCAGTATTTTTCTTACCCATTTTGCTATCTAGATCAACCAAACAAGGGAGCCCATTATCTCCTCTATTACGTTTTATAGCATCAGAGCTGTAAGCAATAGTCATTAGGGCAGACAGAGAAATTCAAGGAGTGATGAGTGGGGAGGTTCAACATAAGTTTGGCATTTTAGTGTGAAATAGAAACCTGTGGATGGGGGGGTTCTGTGAGCTAGCTGGCAGGTTCAGTTTCTGTCTTTTGTGTCCTGGAAGAATATCCCACAAAACTAGTCCAAGACCTGTCCTGGTATTCATCCAACAGAACAACAGTGGACAGGATGAATTGTGAAATAACTGAGTCTGTAGGTTGTGAACACAACCTGCCATGTTTTCTATCACGTTCTCCTCATTCTACAGTCTTCACTTGGAGGAGAACGATCTGACATGTCATGGCGCGAAGTGATGTGGGACGACATGATGTGGCGTGATGTGACAGTAGAGGCATTATGTCAAATCAGTTTATTGCACGTGCACTTTGCTCTGTAAATGTTGTGGCAATAATATATGACTGTGTGTAATGAAAATGACCCACTACCTGCTTGTGCAACGGCAGACACTTTAGCTTCATATGCTCACAAAACCTTTAGAAGGAATGAGGCAATGAATGCTTGTGAAACAGAATCCAGCCCTGGAGTGAAGTGGGACTCAGCTTTCTATAATAGCATTCTGCCAGTTAGCTAGTAAGATTACCATTGTCTTATATATTTTGTTTTATGTACAGTGAGCAAGCAAAGGACAAGGAGGTGAAGCTTTGAACGCTGTCTTTTTATATATA